AATTTTTGGGTCAAATTTATTGGACCACACTATTACTTTTCTGTGTGGAACATTTAGGAATACTCCAAGTAACATTAATATTCTGTGAAACTTTGAAAAATGCTGATTTGGGCATTGAGTTTACAGTTTCAAAGTATTGTCCCATTTATGAAATTCAGTATTGTGCTTACTTATTATTTGGAGAAGATTAGAGATGCAGAATTTTATGTGTTCTATGCTTCAGGGTATAATTAACTTAAAAATTTTTATATGCATGAGGGAAGAGTTGCTAAGATAATTCAAACCAGTGAATAACTTTAAATCACTTATTGTTTAGTAATAGGATTTATTTAGTTTCTTTTGTGTCAAATTTACTGTCCTAATTCTATTTTATAGTAGCTAATGGCACTTCACAACAACAACAACAATATATATAAAAAGAAAAGATTTGGCTCAAGCAGTGGTTCTAAGCTAAAGGAGATAGTCCACATGTAGTACTTTTAAGAGTTTAAGTACTACATCAATTGCACTAGATCAGTTGCTTGTTTGAAAGAATAAGGGGATTTCAAAGAATTCATGGAAAAATCCATTACCTTTTTTTTTGTTTTTACGTTTTTATTGTGAATTGAGCGATAGTTTATATGGGAGAACATCAGCTTTACACTCATCCTATTGTATTGCATTTCATTGCAATGACTATAATCCCCTCCATGCATCATCGTTTAACAGCATTTGCTTCTATTCCCTCTGTTTTCTTTTTTGGATGTACACTGAAGCACTCAGGAATATATAACCATTCAAACAACCCAAGAGTATACCCTGCAAGCCTGCCTCCTGCTGTCAGCACACAGCCTCTCTCCCTCCATGAGTCTAGAGCCTCCATCTCTCTTTTCATTGTCTCTGCCTTGATCTCTGGCATTGCTGCTTCTCTGGATAGGATCCCATACTCCACTCTTCTCCCTTGATGGTCCCAGGGTCCTCCACTCTTGGACTGCAAGATCAACCACTCCCTTCCTTTTGCAACAAAATCTATCTTTACATTTGCAACAATCGCAGGGAGTCCTGATAACAATTATTCACTATTGAACCACAAGAGTCTTACGCCCATCTCCTTTCACCAGCCCCGTCTAGACAGGTTAGAAATCACTCAGTGGAGATTCTGCCTTCCTCCGCACCCTCTGAAACTAAACTCCTTCTTGAAAGCTTGTAAGCCAGGCACTTTGTGCCTTTATAACCCCCACCCCCACCCCCATTTTAGGTAGCCAGTGTCTAAGTTGCCCATCTCTGTCAACCCTGTGTACAGAGGGGGTGGGAATGATCTTTGCTGTGAAGACTCGTTCCCTCTTTTAAATTACTACATCCATAAGTATAGGTCAAGTTCATCAAATTATAGTGGATTGTACTTTTTTCCTCTTCTTTCTTCCTCTAGTCGAGTTCTGATTATTTAGCCATTGAAGCTAGGTCAAATGGGTGTTCTTGTGCATCTCTTTTCAATCTGCAAGTATGGGTGTTCATGGGCAAGTATTGGCGTTCCTATGCATCTCCCCTCACTTCTTATCAGCTGGACGCTTCACTCTCTGCTCTAGCCCTCTGTGGCCACGTCTCTGTCCATGGGGTCAGGAGTCCCCATGTAGCACCATACTGCTGGCCAACCGGGTCTCACTCCAGATTGACTGGAGTCTATTGAACGTGGTCAGACTCAGCCCACATCTTCATTGCGGCTTTTCCCCTACCTTCCCTTATTGGTAAACCAACATGGTCGCAATCCATTATCTTTTAACTGCATTTTTCCATGAACTTTTTGAACCCCCTCAAATACATGAGTTATTTTAAGAAAGAAAAAGATAGGGAAAGTACCACCTTAACTTTTGCAAGAACAAAATGTATGTTAAGAACAGGCATATGATTTCTTTAGTTAGATAATCTAGACTCCAGGTGTCTGCTTTGTACCATAAGTAATGTAAGTTTCAACAATTTGCTTTGCTTTCCTGTGTGTTTCTATCTCTTTTAAGTGAGCATAGTGATGTATACCTTTCTGTCTTAAATGGAAGAGTTTCTTTTGCAAAAACAAAATCCAGAATACATTAAGATTTGTAGGTGAGGAAAAATGGCTTGATCAACAGGCTCTAAGATGAGAAAGGGGACTGCCTGTCTTGTATAGATCCCTTCCCAATCTGTAGAGTTGTATTCCAAAACTGCTCTTTGCTAAAACTGTAGAACACACTGTTCCTCTCGCCTCTGAAGGAATCTATATTCCCTTGGATGTTGTGGGCTCTGTCCTGATGGCTCAGTTACCACATAGACTTGCTAGTTGCTATAGAATATAAATCTAGAGGATCAAGGGTGAAAATGAATAGAGAACTATGAAAACTCCCTAGGTTACTGGGAAAGTTAGCAACTTCAGTGATGTGTAGCATATGAGTATGGTTAAATTGAAAGCTAAATACAGACATTAGACTATCTACTGCTTCACCAGTTGTAACTGGAACATCTTCTTTACACAGAACTCATCAAGGTTATAATAGAGATGAGCTTTGGTAGGGAACTCTTCAATTGTATAGAAGTAAAAATCAAAATGAGAATGCAAAAATTTCAGAAACTTCACTTCTTTATCTTCCCACCTGAAAAGTGTTCTGGAACATCTTTCAACTAACATCCAATTTAGAGTTTCTACTAACATCCAATTTAGAGTTTTATGTTTTAATAAGGAATCGGCCCCTACTTCTTTTCTCTACCCTTGTCTTTTCCTCTCTTCACTCCCTTTTCCTTGCCCTCCTCTCCACCCCCTCACCCCCCACACAGAGTATATTCAAAGGATAGATTTGTAAAACTGCTTTGGGAATAAGAATAT